TAATATGTTTCAGATTTTAAAAGTGCTCTTAACAAAAGAAAAGTCTGTAGAAGGAGACAGACCAGGAAAGCTCAGAGATGATTAGAGGCCCCTGAAAGCAACAAGAGAAATGGATAGGGTGAAGGAAGGACAGTGCAGAGGAGGAGCTGTGTCCAGGTCTGTCCCTGCCAAACACAAGTGACAAGAAACAAGACTGTGCCTGCAGCTGCTGCCCCTGGAGGGATACTGGATTCAGATGAGGCTCTGAGGGTGTCCCGGGATGTGGGGAAGACCAGGAGGGTCCCTCATGTTGAGTTGTGATTCTTCAGCCACAAAAAAGGAAGAATTAATATGCCCACAACTTTGCAGACGGATGTCAATGGCATGTGCTTAGTCAAAAATGGCTGCATCTCAAGACGGCTGCATCAAGCCAAGTTGGGTCCCTTAATGATACCCTGAACCTGTGTAGTATTGTCTCACTAACGACCTGGGTACCAGATGCCCGGCTTCCCTTCATTGTGAACCTTCTGGGTGGCATGAGGGAACTGAATACTCCACGGTCTTCCTGTGCCCTCACTCTCTCTCACTCAGGCACTTCCTTTGGTCTCTGCCATCTACAGGCCCCTCTGGAAGATGGTCGAAAACCATGCCTGTCTGCTTGGCTGGGCGCAGGTGCATTCCTCAGCCATCATGCGAGAACAAGATTGCCTAGGCTCAGGGACCTGTGTAAAGGAGTGTGTGAGGACCGGCTGCAGAGACACAGCTGGACAGCAAAACTCCCCCAATCTGCTTCTGGGTCCCTCCTTGACCCCCAAGAGCTTCCATAAATTTCTTCTGTGGCACTGCCCCTGAATACTTTCCAAAGGGGCCACTTGGCCTTGAGAATACAGATTTGGGTAAATACCTGCTTCCAACTCCCTGATGGCTTCCACTACCATTCAGACAAACCCCTACAATTCCATGACACATACGGGTGAGTGCTGTACCCAGGGGGGTCCACGGGCACCTCCAGGGGTAAGGGTCACACACAGTGGCTGAGTAAGGACTGGTTCTGGGGCATGTGGAGTGACTGTGAGGAATGACAGAGGGAAGAGCAATAGTGGATCAAATGACACCTTCTTCTTCCCCTGTTCACGTGGATGACTAAACCTGCCAGAACGTTCTGAGGAGACTTTAAGCGACCATCTTCAGAATCTTCTGTTATGGAGAAGTGATAAGGTTCTGTGTGAGTCCACACTAGAGGTGTCGATTCTCCATTTATCCACACACACATCTGAGTGGAAGCCCTCCCTGTACAGGAGCAGGAGCATGGGGTGTGCAGACCTTCTCCACACCACCTGTCACTCCTGAGGAGACCACAGTGCTCAGTGAGTCCCTTAGTGCCCACAACCCTGCTGAAGACTTCTCGCTGTTCCTCTAACTGTCCATTGTCCCGGGTTCCCCTGTGGCCTGCAATAGATTCTTCCAATTCTCTGAAGTAGTCCACAGAGCCATGGTCCCCTTTCAGCCTCTTATCTGAAAAACACATTTCACTTCTTAGTCAATTGTCATCTGTTTCCTACTTTACATTCTTTCCTAGATGGTCCCTGGGCACCGAGTGCCTCAGGCTCCAGTGTTGAAGTTTCCCTTGGGCCTGGATCACTGACTCCATTCATGGTAACTGGGCTGTCAGGGGCTTTGGGTGGGAAGCAGCAGAAGTGGAGTTGGCTGATTTGAACAGAAAGAGCACCCATTAGAGGGAATGATACACACAGAGGATGGAAAAGAACAAAATCCACTCAAGTCCCAGGCATGAGGACCCAGATCCCAAACCAGGAGCTTACGGACACCCTCCCAGTGCTCTGCCCTCAGATGGCTTAGGTCCAAACACCTTGACCTCTAAGGGCCCACTGTTACAATTGCAAATACTCAGGAGACACAAAGGGTTGGCTGAGGTGGGTGGATTATTGGACCCTCTATCCAGAGGATGAGGAGAGCAGTGGATGATAGCAGTTCACCCTGAAGGGAGTCTCAGGTCAAGTGGTGTGTGCAGTTACTCTACACTCACAGCCTTAGCTGTGGCCTTGATGTCCTCCTCCTCAATGGGACAAACAACTTCATAACCTACCATAGATCCCAAAAGCCCAAGACAAGTGCAAACACACACACCCCACTTCCCAAGATGATGGAACACCAGATACTCTGCCTGCATCTCAAGATCAGGTCCAAGTGCAGGGCTCCCAACTTAGTACTAGTCAGTACACCTGTTCATGACTGTGTGTGTGTGTGTGTGTGTGTGTGTGTGTGTGTGTGTGTGTGTGTGAAGGTGAATGGTACAGTAGAGGCTATGGCCTGCAATTGCTGCCTGGGAAACTGAAATGTCAACATTGCAGCTGGTGTTTCTGTCTGGCTGTCAGACTGACTTTGGAATAGAAGTGGTCATTGGGGACCTGGCCAGACCCATCTCATTTATCTACTACAGCAGAGGAGGTGGAATCTAGGCTAAAAAATGAGATATTTGAGGCATAATGGCATGAGGGTGACACCAACAACCCTCTCTCTGGTGAATAAGGAGTGAGTGGGGCCCTTTGCCCATTCTCCACAAAAGCCCGGTGGGGTGACTCTCATGGACACTCCTTTCTCTCCTCCCCACTCCTATTTGGGAGCCTTTGAACATGAAGCTGGATCCTCTCTGTGTCTAAAGTCCGATCCTCAGGGCTCAGCAGAGAGTCTTCAAGGTGAGCCACAGACTCTGTGTCCATCACTAGATCCTGTCTGAACTGAAATCACAGGACTGCTATGTTCCCTCTGCAGATACACATGGCATTTCTGACCCGTGTATGTGTGTCAAACTGCAGGTGAGTTATCTGCACTTTCTCATAAAAGTATGGTAATTGTGAGTTATGCTCCATCTCTCCACACTGTCCTCTATGATCCTCCTTGAAGTTGGCCCTTCTTATTTGGACCCTCATATTCCATCTGAGAAAAGACAAACAGGCTTCTTCTTGAATCCAGGCTGTGGCTACATCAGAGTTTGGGGGGAGTGTCTGCCTCGTCTCCTTCCACGTGCTCACCCAGAGCTGTGAGCGTGAGATCTACTTCTCTTCCCTATGTATGTAGTCCTGGGATGTTTGTCTCTTGAGTGACTTCAGAAGCCCCATTTCACATGGCTAGTCGGAGGATCCCTGTCCCTATTATATAATGTCCCTAGAGAAAGGGAGACCAGTGGAGAGATGGACCCATGCTTCAGGGCACCTGGTACAGTGTCCAGCATGTTTGAGTTGAGCATGTTCTTCATGGTGTGGACTGGATGGATGTAATAAGCAGGGTAGCCAGATGCCTTGGCTGCTGATCCCTCTGAGATCCACTAGGTGGTGCTGGTGTTCACCCTCTGCTTTCCAAAGTCACTGCAGGGTGGCTTCCCATTGCATTAAGGTCACACTCCCATTGGCTACAATTGCCTCTAGAATCTTTGTCTTTTCAGCATCCCCATCTCTGAAGTGGCAGCCACCCTGGGTGACATTTCTGGTCTACTGAGCCGTTCCTTAGCGTATCTTCAGGATGTCCAGGTGGGATGGTCTCTTCTTGTGTACCTGGAGGATGAGATCCTTATTTCTGTCTTTCAGATGAATCTGCAGCCGGGTCACACTGCCCCATGTGGGTTCTATTCAGGAGTGTGTTAATGTTCTGGTTCATTCTATGCTCTGCTCTGAGAGGCTGCCTCGCAACCTTTGTGGACATTTTCATGATGTGCACCTGACTGCGGATTTCTGTCACTGTCTAGCTCAACTCTTGGTGATGAAGAAGGAAGAGGCAGAGCAAGAGAGTTTAGAGGAAGAGAATGACAAAAATAACACTAAATGTTTAAATTCTATTATTCTTTTTATGTAAGTGAGTGAGTGTGTGTGTGCATGTGTGTGTGCATGTGTGTGTGTGTGTGTGTGTGTGTGTGTGTGTGTGTGTGTGTGTGTCTGGTTGTCTGTGTGTGCTCCAATGTGTGCACTGCCTATAGTGATCATAACAGTGTGTCAGCTCCCCTGAAGCTGGAGTTACAGGAGGTTGTGGCCACATGATGTAGGGGCTGAGAACTGAACTACCTATCCCCCAGAAGACTTCAAGCAAGAAAGTATGGTCACAGTTCTCTAACGTCTAATGCTGAATCTTGGTTTGAGTTTGACAAGTTTCTGAACCCTGGGATGTAAGCCATTCCCTCTCCCAGAGCCTCAGTGTCCTCAACAGAAAGTCACAGTGCTCCCTCCATATGAACACAACAGTTGCGTGTGTTTTGGGAAACTAGGAGAAGAGGTGGATAATAAGGAATAAACTCAGTAAATGCGGAAATAAGTGTGTTGACAGTAATAGGGTGAGGATCCCATGTCACCTGCTGTCCTTCTCTCAAGAGTGGGGATGGCCGCTAAGCTGCAGGAAATATGTGTGGAATGGAACCTTTCCTCATACAAGGCTAAATTGGCCACTGAGGTCCAGGCATGCTTGAATCCCTTGCTGCATGGAGGAAAGCCGAGGTATTCCACAGACATCCCGCCTGAGGTTGTAGACACAAAGCTTCTGTCAGAGGTGGGCTTTGCCTCTTCTAGTCAAGGGATTACGGGAGCCAATCAGGGAGCCAGGGAATCTGCCATGTAAGATGCCGGGGTTTCTCAGAGGAATCTCTGGAATGGTCTGAGCTCAGAGCAGAAATGTGAGGCAGAAGAATCCACATAGGCAGCTGTCTGAGCACTGTGCCTGCCACCCTCAGCAGCGCTGACCTCGTCAACCAACTGGCACTGGGATGCTCCGCTGAAGTGCAAGAGGGATGGGATGGGGGTGTGCTAGGACACTGGGGAGGCTTGCCAGAGCAGGAAGGGGCTGGCAGTGATCTGTGGAGGGCTCCACAGTTTGTGGTGGTGGGTCTTCCCACCATGGAGAACCCACCAGAGATGGGTTGCCCAGAACAGAATTGGGAATGTTGAGCTGAGGTCACTCTTTTGACTCGGCAAGATGGGTGGGGCAGTGGGTGGCACCCTCCAAGTGTCCACTGCAGGATGTTGATTGGACCAGGTCTGCCCAGGTGAGACGTTCAGTTTCTATTTCCCAGCTGGGTCCATCAGCCCAGAGGCTGTTTCTACTTATGACCAGATGTGCACCTGTTGACAGAATCTACACAGATAAAGCCATCTGTGTCCTGTTCAAACTCAGCCAGGACCAGACTCCTTGGTAAGTTGAGCCCCTTCAGCTCCTCTACTGCCTCCTCTTCATGATTTTACCTTGGGATAAGGGATAATTGCCTCATTCTAGGGATGAACTCAGTGAACTTAGGCATCATCGTCAGCCCCAAGTTCAGAAGAACTGAACTTGCAGCCAGGTCAGCCTCTGGCTCCTTCTCTCTGCACTAAACACAAGAAGGATGGGCAAGCCCTCGGATGGGATCACCATGTGGTTGGGGGCTCAGCTCAGGTGCTAGAACGCCTAGGATATGACCATCAGAGTCCTGACAGAAAGCAGATTTAGGGGTGTACAGCAGTGGGGAAATGGGGAAACTGAGGGATATGGTGCAGGGCAAGAGGCTCCGAACTCACTGGTCCGTGGGCGAATCCTGAAGTTGGACCAGGACTGTGGCTGCCTAGACCAATTAGGGACAAATGTTGACTTGGAGATCTAAGAAGCCCAGCGATTGTGCCATGAACTGTTCTGTGCGTGTATCTGTGCCATGCCCTGGGGGAAACTGAGGACCCAGGGAGTGTGTATTACTGAGGAGTCTGTGAAAGAGGCTGAGCAGGTGGGTCACAGGATCTGAACATGTCCTGTCCTCTATCTGTAGGGGATGGAGAATAGAGAAATGGTTCCCTGTGTATTAGGTGGGGAAGGGTGTCAGTGTGGGGGCAGGGAGGGAAAATGGGAATAATCCCATAAACAGCACACTGGGCTGTTGTTAATCACAACATCAATGGTCAGAGTTTAAGTGTGTGTGTTGAGGGAGGGGTTGTGGTCCTCTGTGCTTGTAGAAGCAGAGAACATTCTAGAATCTTTGGGATGATAAGAAGAGGGGAGGAGGAGGAAGAAGAAGAAAATTAAAAACCAATCACTCATTTTTCATTTAATGATGCGATGTCCTCAGAGATTGGTGACTCTATGTCCAATAAATGTCTCCCAGAGCCCAGATCAGGGATACCTTGGGCCCAGGAGGACAATACCAACTTAGATGCACCAGCAATGGGCTACTGCTGGCACCATGGCTGTCGCCAGAGCTAAACCAAAACTAACAGAGAAGGGGCCACAGGAAAGCACTGTATCAGGCCCAGGGAGTCCATGCAGAAGCCACCCTGAAAGAGGTGTCCTGTGAGATTTCAAGGGGTGGACGATAAAGGCATTTGATGGGTAGGGAAGGGCAGAGTGTGGGCCTGAACTGGTAGTTGCTTGAGGAGATTAGGAAAAGGGACTGCATCAGGCTGAGGGTCCTCTCTGATAGGTTCAAGGTCTTGAAACTGATCCTGGGAGCGAATTACAGATTCTAAGAGAGGATCTTGCTGTCCTCACCCATTCCACCCAGGGGAAGAAGTCAGGGAACCACCAGGAAAGCTGGGCTGAGAGCCCCTGCTTGGCCATCTTTGGAGAGCTTGTGCACTGGTGGAGAACGGAGGCTCTCGGCCTGGGGCTTCAGTTGGCCAGGAACAGAAAAGGACAGGATCATCCTCATACCTCCTGGGACATACCCAGGGAGTTGCTCATCCAAGAAGGCACACTGTCCTGCTGGCCAGAAGGGGGACTTAATGCAGGTAGAGCAAGACAAAATTGTATATATTCATTTATTTTTGTGGTACTGGGTATCAATCCCGGAGCCTAGGGCATGCTTGGCAAGAACTCACCCACTGACTCATCTCTCCTGTCCAGATTCACACAGGACTATAAGATCCATGGTGCAGACACTTTGCCAATGCATAGAGTCTTATGAATTTCCAACTTCTCAGCTGACAGCCCCTGATCCTATAACTGTGAAGCAGGAAAGAAGTGGTAGGGACAGTAGCTCTCCTGCACACCCTGTAGACCAGCTCTGACCTGTTGAATGGTTCTTGGGGGAAGGAGAGGGGAATGAGGAAGTATTAGATAGAAATATAGACAGAGACAGTGAGAAAGACAGAGACACAGGATAGCTTCATGAGAGCTCTGGGTCAATACCCAGTCACCCAGAGTTTGATCATGATGGGCTTTTTTTTTCTTTTTATTAAGAGATTTTCTATTCATTTTACATATCAACCATGGATTCTCCTGTCCTCCCTCCTCCCATCCCCTAGCCTCCCCCCCCCAACCCACCCCTCATTCCCACCTCCTCCAAGGCAAGGTCTCCCCTGGGGAGTCAGCAAAGCCTGGTACATTCAGTTGAGGCAGGTCCAGTCCCCTCCTCCCTGCACCAAGGCTGAGCAAAGTGTCACAGCATAGGCACTAGACTCCAAAAAGCCGGTTTATGCACTAAGGACAGGTCCCAGTCTCACTGCCTGGAGCCCCCCTAAACAGTTCAAGCTAAACAACTGTCTCACTTATCCAGAGGGCCTAGTCCAGTACCATGGGGGCTCCTCAGCTATTGGTTCATAGTTCATGTGTTTCCACTAGTTTGGCTATTTGTCCCTGTGCTTTTTCCAATGGTCTCGATATCTCTTGCTCATATAATCCCTCCCCTCTCTCATCAATTGGACTCCTGGAGCTCTGCCTGGGGCTTCTCCATGGATCTCTGCATCTGCTTCCATCAGTCACTGGATGAGGGTTCTATCACGACAGTTAGGGTGGTCAGCCATCCGATCACCAGAGTAGGTCAGCTCAGGCACCCTCTCGACCATTGCCAGTAGTCTATAGTGGAGTCATCTTTGTGGATTCCTGGGGACCTCTCTAGCACTCTGCTTCTTCCTATTCCCATGGTGTCTTCATTTATCATGGTGTCTCTTTCCTTGTTCTCTCACTCTGTTCCTGATCCAGCTGGGACTTCCCACTCCTCTAAGCTTGTTTTCATGATGGGCTTTTTATACATCAGCAAGGGGAGGCACAAAAGACTTCCCCCTTTCAAGGTTGAGGTATAAAGTACTAACAGGTGTAGACCCTTCAAAACACCTGGTAACCATGCCCTTGGCCAAATCATCCCATTATGCAGCTCTGCTGGGTAAAGCAAGCTCAGACTTTCTGATCTTGAGTAAGGCCTTACTAGGGAGGCCCTGTGGTCCCCCACAACACCCATGCCTTTAGCAAGTGCCCCCAAAAAAGTCCCTCAGCAGCCTTCTTCTTGTGTCTTGGTGGTCAGGACTGAGTCACTCAGTCACTGTGTTACTGACCTCAAGTCTGAGGAAAACAAAATCTGGGTTGAGGACAATGGGGACAGGTGGTGCTGGTGGTCGCTTTTACACAGGGTAGCCAGACAGAGATGCCATCTTCCTGGGAACACCCTGGGCTGCTAAAGCTCAGTAGAGAAGACAACCTTTGGGTGTCCAGGCAGGGACATCTCACAGCTTCCTTCCAAGAGACAGACGTGACTTGTTTCTGGGCAGTCAGTGTTCTCCAGCCCAAAGCCCCAGGGACAGACCTGTCATCAAGTGAACCGGGGGTGTTTGTTCCCGGTGGTGGAGAAGGCTCACCATGGAGATCCAAGGCTGGAGAGAGGCGGGTAGAAAGAACCCTCAACAGGATCAGGGCTGTGGGTGGGTGGGGCTAGGGGGATGTCTAGATGTGTGCTGCAGAAAGTGACAGCCAGCTGTGTCCACGGAATCTCTCTGTATCCTGTCTATAGAAAAATAGACCTGAGGAAGGACCCACCAAGGTGTACATGGCAAGGAAGGGCACTTCATTCTTTCCCTCCATGGCAGGGTGTCTTGATGAGATCTTGTGACTGTAACACAGGACTTGCAAGGATGCAATTTACAAAGAGATATTTACAGAGCTCATTGGAGGAGCCTTGGACGTCTCAGAGCATGGCCCAGGCCACAGGTTTAGTTTGTGACAGGATATTCTTGTTGCAGCAAAACAAGGTGTCATCACAGAGTGGAACACACAAGCGTGCGACTCCATGCTCTCTTCCTCTTCCCAGAGTCCCTCCATTGATATTAGCTCATACTGCTTAAACACACCAGGAATCTTGAAAGACCATCTTAACCTGTCTTGGCAAGGTACAGTAGTCACTTTTCCTTGTTTCCTGCTCATCCAGAAAAAACAGCTTTCATACTGTCAGCTGTCGAGGCAAGGACAGTTCTTTGCCCAGCAGGCCATTATTCACCAGGAAGAAGACAAACTTCCAAACGGAGTGCCTTAAAAGCCCAACATTCTCTCGGGATCAGATTGGTGCAGCCAGGAGCAATCGTGTCTCACATCAACAGAATTCTAAGTTATTTAAATGCCATATCCTCTAGGTCTAGGAAGTGTTTAAAGATTACCTGTCCATCTGACCTCCGTATCTGTAAATCTGGACAACCTAACTAACATAACTACAGCGATGACAATCTTAGGTGACTATAAATCTGTAAGTCTTATCTATCTAAATAACCTAAGGACTAAGGCTTCATGTAAACAAGGTAAACAGTCTATAAGCAAATGTACAGTAAAAGGACAATGACCTCAAAATTGTGACAGTACACAAAATATCTTTAACAGAGGTAGAAATGTACAGTGCAATATGCAATATGACAATAATCCTAAATATATATCAATATACAGAATATCCTAAACAGAAGTAGAACATACATACAGTATGACAAGTACAATTTTACATTTGTATCAATATATAAAGTATTTCAAATAGGAGTAGAAATATATGTACATTACAACAAATGTAGTTCTGTATTTGTATCAATATACAAATTATCTTAAATAGGAATATAAAAATAGTTTACATTTGTATCAATATACAAGAATCCATAACAGTGCAAATTATCTAAGGCTGATATTTTACTAATTTAGTTTACTTGTATATACAATAATCTACCTTAATATCCTATATCTATCCATCCCCCTTTTTCTTTTCTTGAGAATACTGAGTCTAATATTTTCTTCCACCCCTAACCCTATAACCATTATCCATAACCCTGAGAAATATGAAACCTTTGGGAGAAAGGGCATCATTTTCTTCAAACTGCTTCATGCTGTTTAGGGGGCGAGGTATCTCTGTGTGGTCCTGTAAGAAAGCTTAGATTGTTAGGTCTCAATTTGACTAACTGTAGATTCTGCAACCAGTCTCAGAGTAATGGGTAAGGTTGCCTGAGATTCTGGCTAGAGGTGTAGTATGATGGACCATCTCGCTCCCACATGGGGGAGTTGGGTGCCAGATAATGGGATAAATCCACAGAGTGTATTTACTGATCAAAGGAATTTATTTGGGGGTAAACTCACAGCCACAGGAGATTTATCATAGGGTCCAGAAAAGCTGAGCTATGTCCCATGCTGAACGGCTCGGCCCAAGATCTCAGGATCCAAAAGCCACAAGGTAGCCCAGTGAGAGGGCTTACATGCATCCCAGGTCTCAAGGGCCCCTGGTGTCCACGCACAAGGGGCAGGTACCTCAAGATCATAGGCAGATGTAGTAGTAACAGCTGCCTTACTAGGAGCCATGCTTCAGGGCATGGCTCAAACAGCCACCCACTACACACACCCACTCTCCAGTCAGTCCCAGGAGATAGGGTAGAGGGCACTTCTCAACGATTCTTGAAAACTATTCAAACATGTTGTCCCTGGCAGGCAGCTGCATCAGGTTGAGGGGACATAGTGCCCACAGGGGAAATTGAAATTAGTGGAGTATAGTATGTGAGAGCTGTAGGATACATGGCTCATATAAAATGTGTGTCAAGGTCAGAGGTCACTATTCATTACTACTAATTTGGCTGAACTTGTGCAGGGACAAAAAAAAAAAAAAAAAAACAAGGATTGGGAGACAGCTGTTGATGACTGCCCACATTGATTACCAAACTCCTGGTCACAGTCTGTGCCCAGAGGAAGTCAAGTTCACCCACCCATCCTTGTTTTTTGAGGAAGGGTCTCACACTAGACACACATTTGCCAAGTAGACTGGGCTGGGTGGTCAAAGAGTCCCAAGGGTCCGCCTGTCTCTGCCTCCCCAGCACTGAGATCCCAAACCATGCCCCTGGGCCTGGCTCCTTTTACCTGGGTTTCAGGGATGGGACTCAGGTTTGCATGCTTACATGGCAAGCACCTTCCCAACGGAGTCTCCCCAGCCCTTACAAAGACTCACCTCCTACTAGGACCACAAAGTTTGCCTTGGAAAGACCTAACATCACCCACCAAAGGGGAACTTCTGCACATCTTTAGAGTTCCGGGTGGATGGTTACAGTATACATCTGTAGGGTGGGTCTAGCACAGCCGGTTTTACCCAGATAGGTGCCGTCTTTCTTACCCACTTGACCTCTGCTGTTATGGGGCTAAGACACTTGCACTGCACAAAGTGCTGAGGGATCTGACAGCGCTCTCAGCCCTAGCAGACAGACACAGACTTCGGAGAGACCTGCAGGGCAGGAAGAAGTTCTTGAAAGCGTTTCCTCGCTTGAGAGCAGAGGTGGAGGAGCACATCCGGCAGCTCCACGCCCTGGCTGAGCACACTGAGGGGGTGCACAGGGGCTGCACCATCTCCAATGTCGTGGCTGACTCCTTCAGCACTGCCTCTGACATCCTGGGCCTCCTTGGTCTGTTTCTGGCACCAGTGACAGCGGAGGGCAGTCTGATGCTGTCCTCTGTTGGGCTGGGGCTGGGAGTAGCAGCCACTGTGACTAATGCCGCCACCTCCATCGTGGAGGAAACAAGCAGGATTTTGGATGAAGTTGAAGCCGGTCACCAGGCCTCACCTGGCCTGGATGTGTTGGAGGCTGGAACAACCGTGGCGAGGATTGCCAGCAAGTTCCCTCAGGCTACCAGAGATATCACCAAAGACCTTGAAGCCCTTCAGCAGCACATGGATGCCCTCAGGCTGGTTAGAGCCAACCCTGGCTTAGAAGAAGATGCCAGGATCCTTGCCACCACCGGAAGGATCCTTGCCCAACGTGCTAGAAGGGTACAGGCCACCTTGAAAGGAACCCCTCTGGTGATGAGCAATGACGCCCGGATCAGGAGTGCCACCACTGCAGGTGTGTCTCTCCTGCAAGATGTTGACAGCCTTGTGAAAAAGTCAAAGCATTTGCAGGAAGGGGCACAGTCAGAGTCGGCTGAAGCTCTCAGGAAGCTGGCTGAGGAGCTGGAGGAGAAGTTGGGGAAGCTCGTCAAATTCTACAAGGCACTCTGATCAGGCCCTGTCCCCCAAGACAAGCTGGGGTCAGGGGAAAGGAACTGGACAGAGCTGGGGACAGTGTTAGAAGGGGAACAAGGGTCCAGTCAAGTCCATGGGACAGAGAGTCAAGCCTCTGACTGATCATGGCAGGTTAGTGTGCACAGCAGTAGGTCAATGAGTCCAACTGGAGCCTGAGACCAGGACCAGAGGATGTGCTGAAGAGGGACTGGAGAGAGTGGTCTCTGCACTAAACATGGAAGAAACCACTTGTCACGAAGACTGGAAAGCCCTCCCCACCTCAGCTACCAGAACAAAGCATGGGAGAGAAGAACCCGCAAAACACAGACCCAAGAGAAGATGTGTGCTGTGTAAATAAGTCCTGAGCCTCCAGCCCTGTGGTTTAGAGCAATGCCTTCCCCCGGATCCCCAGTCCACTCCATCCTCAGGCATGTCTTCATCCCCTAAATAAACTGTTCTGCTGTAACTACCTCACCGTGTGTTTGCTTCAGTTCTTTGTCCTGGGACCTAAGAACCTGGAAGATTCCTCAGGTATCCTGACTCTCGGTGTTGCCTCTAAGGGCTGGTGCAGCCAGACAGGAGCCAAACACGAATGCTCCCGAACTCTGCATTATCAAGGACTCCAGGTGCAGTGCTGTTCCCTCCTTCTGGGAGAACTTCCCTCAGGAGGCTCCGTGGTGGGGGGTGGGGGGCTCTCCTCTCCTCCCGCCTCTCCCTTCTGTGTTTTCTTCCCATAGATGTTGGCAGCAGGAAGAACAGTGTGACTGAACCCTCCCCTCCAACTCGGCAGTAGCTGAACTGATGCCCGGACAAAGAAGGACAGGAATGGGCTTAAAGTCCAAAGCCTGGGCTCAGGGTTGGGAGGCAGCTGCTCATTACCATTGTCAACACAAATATCTAACTCTCACCTCAAAGGAGATAAGACAGTGTTGATCTGGAGCCTAATAGGAGGGACCATGGCCCAGGAACACAGAGTTAGGTTACACCCAAGTCCATCTTCCAACATGGTTACCAGTTCATGGAATTTGTTATAGTAACAGAAGAAAGAGAGCCATAAGTGAACACATTTCCAAGACATTTGTGAAGAGATGGTTACAGGCTTCAGATGCTGTCTGCCCATGTTCTTAGCTTGTGGATTGGTGGAAACTAGTGGTCTCCTAAATTAATAAATCCCAAATGGTTTTTATCTCTTAGAGGGTGCTAAATCCAACACAGGAGTGGCAAGGAACAGATATTTAGGGGACTAAAGACAGTCAGAGACAAGCTGGCATTAGGCCCTTGATCTGCAACATCCAAGAGAGCCAAAGCTATTGCTGTTCTCATTAGCTAATTAGGATCTTAGAAGATCAGTTGAGATTCCTTCTGGAAACTTTCATTTGCACCATCCACATTTCTTACTGTGCTTAGAGTCAAGGCCTGTGCCCCAAGAAGCCAGGTGAGGGGATGGGGGCTGGCTTGTACATGAAAGAGGGACAGAGGCCAGCAGCACTGGAGAGCGATCCATAGAGTGTCCCACAGTCAGTGGCAGCTGAAGACCACAAAAATTCATCCAGAACTATGAGATGAGGAGGGTCTTAGGTTGCAACTCTCAGTGAGTCTGTGAAGAAGGCAAGACTGAGGTGACACCAGGATGCTCAGCAGGTGTGACTCCACTTGCCCTTCTCAGGCTGGGAACATTGGCCCCACACTTGCCTCTGGCTGTGACTCAGTTGCTCAGCTGGAGACTGGACACACTGCTAAGGACTGCTGTGTCCCACCTAACTCAGCCAGGAGAAGGTTCTTCCCTAAGTAGGGAAATCACTGTCCATGCCCACAGCCACTCTGAAAAAGGACTATTGCCACTTTCTATAAATGTAATTTAGTCACTGGACCAGGTCACAGTTCATCAGCCTGTGGCTGAACTTTCATCCAGGTTGGAATCTGGCTGCTTTCTCCTCTCCCTCGGAAGTCAGCACAAGAGACTGTGGGACACCCCGCAGATGGGATCACCAAAGGGTTCAACTTAATTCCAGACTGCCTGATTCATGACTAGGGCACCTCAGAGGGAAGGTGGCTGTTCTGGGTGTCCTCTGGGAAATAAAGGAATTGAAGGATGTGAATGGAGAGAGCAGAGACCCAGAGTCCACCCATCCTTGTGTGAAGACCACCCTGGAGGTAGCCCAAGGGTATTGCCACATGAACAGACAGTGGCAAATGTGGACTTGGGAGACACAAGGAACTCAGAGACTGCACCATGACTCTCTCAGAGTGTGTGTCTATAGCAGGATCCACAGTGGAAACTGAGGCCAGAAAAGAGTATCCTGTTCCAGATACTAGAAAGAACTAAGTCAGTGGGTGTTCAGTCTGCACCCCTGGCCTTAGCTAGCGTCTCTGCAGTCTGGGTGCTGGGTGGGAAAGAGAGCCAGCCTGGGGACAGGGAGGGCAAGGTGCCCAGTCCTGTAAACAGCACCTTTGTGTAACTGAAAGAGCCAAGGGCAGAGTCCAGGTAAGGGCAACCTATGTGTCTATACAAGCAAAGAATAGTCTAGAAACTTTGCAATTTTGCTCATCCCTAGCAGAGCACTGCTCCCATCACCGCCAGATGTCTGGCACACTTGCCACAGACCGCAAGGGAAAGTGAGTACCAAAAAACCTGAGCTTGTCTCTGATCTGGAGATGCTCAGAGGGAAGAGGCCAGGCTCTGCATGCTGGATTCCAGAACCATCAAGGACTTGGAGTACAGATGATGAAAATAATTTGAATTGTGTCCACTTGAACTAGTTTAAACAACATCCAAACGCAGTGCACATAAACACAGGTGCACACATAGTTCCCTACCAGGCAGAGCTCTAAGAATCTGTATTTCACCAGGCGGTGGTAGCGCTTGCCTTTAATCCCAGCACTCAGGATGCAGAGCCAGGCGGATCTCTGTGAGTTCGAGGCCAGCCTGGGCTACCAAGTGAGTTCCAGGAAAGGTGCAAAGCTACACAGAGAAACCCTGTCTTGAAAAACAACCCCCCCCCAAAAAAAAGCTGTATTTCAACCTTTATCCCACAGGTTTTCAAAGAGGTTTATTTTCTAACACTTCATTTCTGTGTCTGGGTGCCAGAGCACCCCTTGGCGTTAGGGAACTCTGGTTGAGTGGTGTGATGGCTAATCTTGGTTGTCAACTTGACCACATCTGGAATTCTATTAAAACCCATATATGGGGCACGCCTGAGAGGGATTTTTGCTTAATTTGAAGTGAGAAGACCCGCTTCTAAGCCGGATCTTTGAGGTGGGAAGACACGCAATTAATACAGATCTTTTCAGGAGGGAAGCCCTGACTCTAATCTAGGCCACGCCTCCTGCTAGAAGCCTCTATGAGGACACGGAAGAAGGAAGTTTTTGATCTTTGCCTTCTTGCTTTCACCTCGATAGCAGGTCCCTTCCTTCACTGGCATTAGAGCCTCCTTCTTCAGGATTCCAGCATATACTGAAGAGCAGCTGAGACATCCCGCCTTGTGGACTGAGCAGCTACTGGAGTCTTCAATCTTCTAGCTGAACCACAGCCTGTGAGTCATTCTATAAATCCACTTTCTACACGTAGAAAGAGATTTATTCTGTAAGTTCTATTACTCTAGAGAACCCTGACTAATGCAGAGGGTCACTTCTCTCCATGCTCCACTTTGGCCTTACAGCTACTCTGACCTGCACCTCGAACCCCTGCTCAAGGTTGCCATGGACTCACTCTACTGTCTGCCTGCTGGACATGTGTGTGGCTGTGGCCTCACCTGGGCGTATTACAGTCCTGGGTGGGTGTGGTTGACTGTCCTATAAAACTCCACAACCTTCCACAGCCCAACAGCTACAATGGGAATGTATACCCAGAGCTGGATCAATGGGCATCTTCCAGATGTTTAAATTCTTTGGCCAGTAAGTTCATTAAAATGCATCTCTGTATTAGTATGATTTTTTTGAACCTGTCAATGATGAGATGGATGAATTCATCATCCCTGTCCGATAATGTTCCAAGTCTCTGTTAATGTTATGGAAAGGGAAGGATGCTGGCCCTCAGGAGCTGACCCTGGGTCTCACTTTGGGGACCAGACTTCAGAACACCTGTCACATCTCAGACCATGGGTGGTTCTTATAGTTTTTGAACTATTCTCTTTCTATCTCCTTTTAATTTCATGTGAATATGGGAAGGCTTGAACAGGAAGGTGGAGATAAACCTGGGATCCTCATACTTTTGTGGGGCAGACCTAAGATTAGGAGTTCATGATTCTGCTACAATACATAGTGAGTCTGAGGCCAGCCTGGACTGGGTGCATACTTGCAAGGTTTGGGCAAGAACTCGGAGTCATCAGTTCCAAGGGCAGAGTGCAGTCCTGAGAGTGAGCCACCATTATCTTCAGCTCTTACCATATCAACAAGTCGTTCACTCTCATTCTGGTCAGGTCCCAGGAGGAGCTGATGCCTCCGACCCACACTGCTAAACCTGTTTTCATTCCTTCCTCAGCGTCAGGCAATCTCAGTGCGGTTTGTGTCTCTTTATGAAGTCTTCCCCACCCCAAAGACTACTGAGGATTGGTCAGAGGAAGGAATGAGCATCCTCACACAGTGCCTGTGTTAGATGTTAACGCCCATTAACCCAGTCCTTCTACTTCTACAAACAGTATAAGGAAATAATCTCAAATGCGGGCACTAACAGGCAACGAGAACATTCTTTGCATTACTATTTACATAATGATTAAGAACAGCACAAGGTCCAGGAGTCAGGGAGAAGATCAGATGTCAAAGGCAGCACACAGCAGGACCAGGGCCAGGTAGGACTCCAGGTCCTGATAGGACAAGGAAATCACAGAAGCAAGGAGGGTGTGGTACCTGGGAGTCACAAAGGACCCCATGAACTTCCTAGGATGAGGACCTGGTACTTGGCACAAGGCAGTGCTGTGGAAAGAGAAGAAGCATTTATAACACACACACACATACAATGATGCACACGTGTAATATAAAGAGGAGGGAATGCGGTTGTGGTTTTAAGATAGTGGAGCTTTGGGGCTGGAGGGACGGCTGAGTGCTCTTCCAGGGTTCCTGCTTTCAATTCCCCAGCAACCACATGATGGCTCACAACCATCTATAATGAGAACTGGTGCCCTCTTCTGGCCTGCAGGCATACATGCAGGCAGAACACTGTGTACACAATAAATAAATCTTTAAAAAAAAATTAGGATACTGGAGCTTAGTCTTTTGTAAGTGGGATGTGGATTAGCATGTCCCAGGTTCAAGTCCT